TTCCTTTAAAATGTATGTCCTTGGTTTATGTGCAAGTTTGAAATGTGTTTAGGGACTGTAGTCTAATTTTAAATAGTTTGTACGTAGCATAGCTTGAGTGTACACCGCTTTTATACAAAAGGAAAAAAGATTTCAAATGTATACGTTACTCTGGTTACATTGTCATGTTTCCGATGCTTAATATAGTTGTTTTTTTAACTTGAATTTATATCATCCAGTCTTAGAAACTACCTTAATGAAGTAAGAGGAAAAGAATCCCATCCTTATAAATCAATGCTAGTGAACGGATTGCTACTAAAGTGCAGTCTGACCTGGTGTTGGTTTTTCGTCCATCTGATGAGTTCATTGTATGCCACTTTTTTCTTCAGAGACCTGTTAGAATATTTAAACTAATGACTCATTCTTTTTACCCTCCTTGCTTTGTCTGAAGTCATTTTTTGTCTTTATGAACATTTATCAATATAAATCAAATACTTTGTGCCATTTTATGTAATCTTGATTTAATATTATGTGGTATTCTGTTTATACTGTATACTTTCATACCACATTGTCACTTACGTGCTCAGAATAGTGTTCCTGCTTTAACTGTGTATCTCTTGTTGGTGGCAGTGGTTTCCATCTCTGTACACACATCAAAACTAATCTAATTGCATTTTAAATATGTAAAGCTTATTGTAGACCCCAGCCACATTGCCTGTTGTGTGTTACACATACACACACCTTCTAGTAGTTACAATAGCTGCCATCTCCAGGAAGTACACTTCTATCTGGTGGTGTTTGGCCTTAGTTTCTGTGTTTTTGGTTTTGGTCTTTGCCTATGTGTCTCAGGTTTCTCAAAATGTGTAAGCATTTCCTTTGAGTAAAGTAGTCATCTGTGGTCACTGGTGTGAATCCTGCAGCTTATCATCTATCTGTTGGGCCCATAGAAACTGATCTTTGTTTTATATAGGCATGGGCTGTGTTTCTGCCTCACCTTTATTCCTAAGTTGAAAACACTAGGAATGTTGTCAGGGTTTTAGATCTAGTGACACAGCTTTAAATAGTTTTCAGTATTTGTAGAAAAGGAAGAAATCCCATGTGATCATAACTCATTCTTATCTTTTTTAAAATAACTTTTAATTTTCATTCTTTTGATTTTAAAGTTTTTGGTAATCAGGAGAGAAGATTATTAACTCGAAGAATTAATAATTAGGCACATACTGTTTTTTATTCAGTGTTGTGGTATGATTGATTATTGAAGAGACCCTCCTAAAATGTTCTCTAACTGGCATCATTAGAAGAAAAAACTTTTCTACAAAATGCTGAATTCTCACCAGGATTTTTCCACGTTGCAGTTAGGTATAAGGGATAACCTGATAAAAAATTATTCTCAACAATTTTCTGTTTATAGATATCCAGAAATTTTTAAGGCATAAAATCTAACTACAAGTGGATTACCAACATTAATTAAAACCCTGATCTGTGGGTAGATTGCCTATAATAATGCATGTGACTGGCTAGCTAACCTCGATCATCTGATTAAAAGTTAACCTAAATCAACAACATAAACTTATGTCACAGGGTGCTGGGTTATTTCCCCTCCAAGTGAACTTTAGCCCTGGTGAAAGGTTCCCTGCAGCAGAAAATTCACTGGGCATGTACAGCTTGTAGGCATTCTTTGTTTATTCCCATGGATTTTTTATTATTTATTTATTTTTATTTTTTGAGGAGAGTATGATTCCAGTATCCGTATCTGTTCTTTAAGCTTGAATTTGCCATAACATGTTTTCAGCACTCCAAAACAAAAATAAACAATGCTAGCAATGGAATTATTGGTGAGCCGTCCATTTGGTGGTGGTGCAATGGTGTATCTGGTCTGTTCTAAATACTGTGTTAGAAATCTGTTTTGTGACTACAGATACTTAGGTCAAACCAAGATTATTAAGTCAAACCAAGATTATTAAGATAGTTCACATGGACCTCTAAAGAAAATGGTTTCAGCTCACATGGGCTGATTTCTAACCTGTATTCCAAAAGACATAAATTTTTTTCCCAATCTTTTAGGTGGTCTGTGAATGCCTAATCCATATCACTTTTCCACAGAATTCTTAATGTATGAAAATAATTTATGTATCCTGAAATTAGTAGTAGCATTACACCTTTACATTTCATAATCACACTTTGTTATTTTAGTCATTAAAATTTTTCATACTTTTAAAGTATATATATGCTAAAAGTTTTGTATTTGCCAAACTTTCTTCACGTATGTCCTTTGAGGCAGGAAACTTACCACACCATTCAGTTTCCAAAACCATGTGCAGAAAGTGCAAAGTGCCCTTTTCTCTCCTTCCCCCAACCTGTATTTCCTGAGTAAGCATCATACTTACCAAGACCTCTTAGACTTGATAAACTCTGAAGAGTAGCATTTCCTTTGTGGAGAAGTGAGATTATAGTTGGGTTTTTTAAAGGACTGTGGAACGTATTTAACCACCAAATACCACTTGGCATGATCTGCCACCCTGGAGAGACTGCATCAGCAAAACCTGTGTTCGTTTCAGAAGTATGCTTTAGATATGTTTACATTCACTTATCTAAATCTAAATTCTGTAATTTCTAAATGTCACGTAATTTGGAGTTACCAGAAAGTTGGGAGTTGGGAGTTGGTCCTATAAAGTTAAGAATTTTTTTTATCATTGATTTTACATGATAAAATAGTTATCAAAAATTTCTTTCCTGCTAACTAAATTTTCCCTTCATATTCATTGGGAAAAGCACCTTTCCAAAGACTTTAAAGTTGAAATTAAATATTATATTTTCTGGGAAGTCAAATGTGTTATTGATGAAACAAGAAGAGTTAACCTCTTTTCCCAAAAAGCAGAACAGAACTTTCTGACAACTGCTTTGTTCCAGTGAAATGTCGGCATTTCTTACTCTGTGAGGTAATTCAATCTTCAGTCCAACAGGAGACTCTTTGTGCTGTCTTTACTAAATGGAAAGGAATGCCTGTGCTGGCCCCTGCACACGCGTGTGTCAGTCAGTCAGCACAGATGTACGTGGGGGAGGCATCCACACATGTGCTCAGAAGCACGGTGTGTGCCATCTTATTACATATCACCAAGGTTTTTCAGTTCATTTATATTCAGAGTTTTACTATGGAGTTGATTATTTGGTCTGAGGGGTTGGTCTATAACTCTGCCTCTTAAAGCCTTCAAATTTCTAAATTCTTTGATTATCTACCAAGTTTCCTTAATAGTTCACATTCCTTTCTGACATGTTATGTATACATTTAGGAGCTTTAATGAGTCTAAGTGTTTCTTTGGATATTTAAATTATTTACATTTTTTTCCAAATAACTTTTTCTGTCTTTATTTAAAATACTTTTTTACCCAAACCAAAAATGGTCAATATAGTCTTTACTTGTTTAAAGGCTTTATTTTCACTCAGTTTCTACATCCCTTCCTTTGTATATGACTTTAGTTATGTCAAAGAATTTTTAGAAAAAGTTGCTTCTTCTGTTATTTTTAAATACCTTCTTTTTCAGTGATAATTTAAAATTATCCTCCTGGATTCTCATCAAAATTATTTTGTCAAGTATGCCACAGTTGTCAGAGGCACAAATACAAGTAGTTGTACTCCATAGACATAATGAAGAACAGACCTGCTAGTTCTGTGATACGGCATTCTTCATTTCAGTAACTGTGTGAGTCACCTAATGGATGCCTCCATTTTTCTAGCCATAAAATTAGAATAATGCAATGTTTATGAAGTTTTGAAGTCCTTGAACAAGTGATGCGTGTGCGATATTATTTAAAAGCAGTAACGTGGAATCATAGCTATTTCTTCTCAATTTGTCTATACTTTTAATAAGTTACTGTTTGAGAATCTATTTATGAATCCCACTCAATGTAGTAAATGGAAATATTCCTAAAATATGTTAGTAATAGCTCAGACTTCATATTTGCCAGGCTTTGTTTCAAGCCCTCTTATTCACTTACTCTTCACAACAACTTCATAAGAGAAGTGCTACTGTTAGCCCCATTTTCCAGATGAGAAAACTGAAGCCCAGGGTGTGCCCTAGCAAGTGGTAGAACTAGGATTTGCATCCAGTCATATTTCAGAGCCTTGGAGCTCTTTTAACTCCTCCCTGCCTTGGCTTCAATATTTTTCAGCCCATTCCAGTGTCAGACACATTTATTGAAAGGTTGTATTTTCTAACTGAAGTAGTTAAGAATGAAATGATAACATGTCTGAGATTTGCTTTAACATATTTAAGTAGGGACAGAAATGAAACAAATTGTTAGACCAGACACTGTGGAGGCCACATGATAGACACATGGGATCCATTATGCCATTCTCCGCTTTCATGTATTTTTGAAAATTTTCATAACAGTGTTTTTTTAAAATAAAGTTATTCACCACATTAAAAAGTTCTATTGGATTTGAGGATGTAATTTCCTTGTTTTAATTTTTCCCCCAATGGTAGTATTTGTTATGTTCTCAAAATGATATTCAAATATTTGACTGGACTTTCTTACACACTTGTTTTAAAAGTTACTGATGTTCAGTAGAGTTTTTTGTATGTTTGTTTTGAGACGGAGTTTCGCTCTTGTTACCCAGGCTGGAGTGCAATGGCGCGATCTCGGCTCACCGCAACCTCCATCTCCTGGGTTCAGGCAATTCTCCTGCCTCCTGAGTAGCTGGGATTACAGGCACGCGCCACCATGCCCAGCTAATTTTTTGTATTTTTAGTAGAGACAGGGTTTCACCATGTTGACCAGGATGGTCTCGATCTCTCGATCTCGTGATCCACCCGCCTCGGCCTCCCAAAGTGCTGGGATTACAGGCTTGAGCCACCGCGCCCGGCAGAGTTCTTATTTTTTTGGCAATAAAGAACTATTTTCATGTTTCTGTGTTTTACAGTGTACAAAAATTGTTTTGTGAGAGGGCTTTACTTTGTCCAAGTTTGTATGAAATCATTGCACCTAAACATACATTTAGTGTTACCTGGTTTGTTTTTATAGGAGCCAAGCAATAAAAGAGTTCGACCTCTGGCTCGTGTCACATCATTGGCAAATTTAATCTCTCCTGTAAGAAATGGAGCTGTCAGACGCTTTGGTCAAACAATACAGGTAAAAAGAGAGGAGTAAGAGTCATGTAGTCAGGGGACTTTGTATAGAAGCCTGGAATTTGTATTTTTCTTGGAGCTGTACAAACATGTTTGCATTACTGTACTTAAATATAGTTTTCTTGGCCGGGCGCGGTGGCTCAAGCCTGTAATCCCAGCACTTTGGGAGGCCGAGGCGGGTGGATCACGAGGTCAAGAGATCGAGACCATCCCGGTCAACATGGTGAAACCCCGTCTCTACTAAAAATACAAAAAATTAGCTGGGCATGGTGGCACGTGCCTGTAATCCCAGCTACTCAGGAGGCTGAGGCAGGAGAATTGCCTGAACCCAGGAGGCGGAGGTTGCGGTGAGCCGAGATCGCGCCATTGCACTCCAGCCTGGGTAACAAGAGCGAAACTCCGTCTCAAAAAAAAAAAAAATATAGTTTTCTTTTTGGAATATGCTAGTAAGGAGTATTGTTCCAGAACAGTGTGTAACCTCATATTAATTTGCATCTTATATCAATGCATAGTCTTGGCTAATTTTTATTCCCCAAGAAAAGTAATTTTAGCTGATAAATAAGAGTGATAGGTGGAAACTTGGATAAATTGTTTTCTGCATTGAGAAATTCTCAGAACTTAAAAAAAAAATGGGAATAATTCTGTTTCTTTCAAATCTTATTTTGTCTTTTGTTTTTTTTTTTTTTTTTTTTAAAGTCATTTACCCTTCGTGGTGACCACAGATCCCCAGCCTCTGCCCAGAAGTTATCTAGCAGGTCAACAGTCCCAACGCCTGCCAAGAGACGGAGCAGTGTGCTGTGGTCAGAGATGCTAGACACCAGCATGAAGGAGTCTCTCACCACCAGGGAAATCAAGCGGCAGGAGGTACCTGGCACGCAGCACCGAGACTCTATTTATTGGCCTGTACTCTTAAAAAGACCCCTGTTTTTTAAATATATGTGTTCCGAAAAGAACAGCAAACTGACGCCTATGATAAAACTAACTTGAATTTTTGTGTTTGAGCAACAGTTCCTACTACATGATGAACAAAACCTAATGATGGATGGTGGTCAAATTAAACAACTCTAAAAGAGTAAAATTACCAAACATATGGCAACTTTTTATTTGGGATTCCATTCTGAATTACAGTTTTCAGACTGAGTTACTTTTTAAAATGCTGTTCAAAACATCAAATAATGTAAATATCAGTTGTATTTAATTTTCCTTTCTCAAAGGAAGAAATGCCCTCTGATGTTTGCTGGATGTTTTTTAGGCAATATATGAAATGTCTCGAGGTGAACAGGATTTAATTGAGGATCTCAAACTTGCAAGAAAGGTCAGTAAATAACTTTATCGGATGCCCAGTTTTTTAAAATTACATTTCACAAAATCTAAAAGATAGTTTTCTTAACCTTTAGAAGTAGAAAAATAGAAAATATATACCGGTGAATACATTTTTTAGATGAGGTCTAGACACATCTCCTCAAATATAAGTATTAGAGTTTATTTGGGGATTAACACATACTTTAATTTCTTTGATGTGTAGCAAACAGAATCCATGCTGGCTTTTATATAATTAACTCTGTTTCCAAGTACAGATCCCTCATGTTTCCCTCGCATGATCTCTCTGTGACACATTTCTTCCCTCTTGACAGGCCTACCATGACCCCATGTTAAAGTTGTCCATCATGTCAGAAGAGGAACTCAAACATATATTTGGTGATCTGGACTCTTACATACCTCTGCATGAAGGTTAGATATGCCACTTAATTTTCATTGAAGTAGTAATGCAAGTAATTTTCAGTCCAAACTTCTAATGTAGTGCTGACCTGTTTTTTAAATAAACCTATTACTGGTCTTTCTGGTTTTTTATCACTTCAGATTTGTTGGCAAGAATAGGAGAAGCAACCAAGCCCGATGGAACAGTGGAGCAGATTGGTCACATTCTCGTGAACTGGGTATGTAGCGAGTTGTTGCCCCCAGATATGCCATGGTGCAGTTTCTGATGAATATGAGATGGATTTGATCCCATAACTGTATTCTACAAATACATAAGGCATTAAACTAATTTACAGTGATATAAAGTTACAGTCTTTTTAAAAAAAACATTTCATTAATGCTATAGGTTCATTTGTGTTACAAATATGTTCCTGCTTGGATAGAATTCCCATGTTATGTGATTATCTGTTGCATTCTTTCATGAATGTTTAAGTGCGTGCCAGATGCCGGGCACTGTTGGAGGAGTCGTTGCTGGGGATTCAGTGACGAAAGGCTCTCTGCCTTCATAGCCTAGTTGAGGGCAGTCTTGGGGCTGGTGGCAAATGGAGGACACTCAAGTGTCCTGGGAGCACAGACTGCCAGCATCTGAGGTTGGAGGCAGGTGGAAGTCATGAGTCTTCAGTTGGATTTGGCCAAATTACAAAAATTTGAAGAGCATTTTAATGATTGCTAAAATACTATTCAGCTTCCATTATTATCGACAAGAAAATGACCACCGCTTGTTGATACTCTTAAGAATAGCTCTACCTTTTGTGTGTCACGTTCACAGGCTTGTTAATGCACTCGGTTGTAACAGGGACATATCATACCTTTTCTTTTCTTACTCCTCAGTTACCACGCCTGAACGCCTACAGAGGCTACTGTAGTAACCAGCTGGCAGCCAAAGCTCTTCTCGATCAAAAGAAACAGGATCCAAGAGTCCAAGACTTCCTCCAGCGATGTCTTGAGTCTCCCTTCAGCCGAAAACTAGATCTTTGGAGTTTCCTAGATATCCCTCGAAGTCGCCTAGTCAAGTACCCTTTACTGTTAAAAGAAATTCTTAAACACACTCCACAAGACCACCCTGATGTTCAGCTTCTGGAGGATGCTGTAAGTTTCGCCATAAGCGATTCTTTTGTTTTTCAAGTTTATACATTAGGTTGCTTTAGAAAGATATAAAATGATACTTTGGAATCTTTTGAAGATACTGATTCACATCAGCATAGTGAATTGTTTTGTTGTTTTATGTACCCAGTGCATTAGTACACTGTGCACTAAGTGATAAGGAGATGTGTGTTGGACTTTGCACATTTTATATCTCAAGGGACAGGATTCTCATCTGAACTCACCTTTTTGCCTTTGGACAGATCACCCAATTTGGCTAGGACTGTTTTTTCTTGATCTATAAAGTGAACAGACTGACAGAATTCACTGGTTTCTAGAGTCCCTTCAAGCTTAAACGTTCTTCATTCCATGTGACGTTTGCCCTGCAGAAAGGAACAGAATGAGTTAATACACTGAAGTTGCTCCTTCAATTTATCATTTTCAGATATTGATAATACAGGGAGTCCTCTCTGATATCAACTTGAAGAAAGGTGAATCCGAGTGCCAATATTACATCGACAAGCTGGAGTATCTGGATGAAAAGCAGAGGGACCCCAGAATCGAAGCGAGCAAAGTGCTGCTGTGCCACGGGGAGCTGCGGAGCAAGAGCGGACACGTAGGTGCTTTTGCTGCCGCAGCGCGGCCTCCCTCCCACCTCTTTCTCGCACACGTTAGTTACAAGGCAGGTTTGGGAAGGGAAAGTCATGACGTAGTAAAAGAAGATTGCCGGTTTTAATTTTATATTACCAGCTTTGATAAAGCCAACATTTGGGTTCCATGACTAAGAATAAATAAGATGCCTTAAATGTCTCAGTGGAGAACCATAATACTTTATTTTTTAGTTTTGAAGTATAAATCAACTTGCTGGGCCAGGAGTTCCTATCTAAATACAGTATTAGTTCCATAATGTTTATTAAAGTATCCTTCAAAAAATATTTTAAGAGTTTATCTTATGCTTATGGAAGTGGTTTTTAGCACTATGTAACAAATTTCTGAAGCAGATTAAATGAATGCTAATTTATTTGTAAAATGTTAATTACAAAAGTACCTGCTAAAACTAAGTACAGCCATGGAATGGTATTTTTGTTTCATCATGCATTTTCAAAAGCCCAGTTTCTAAGTTGGAGTTTTGTTTAAAAAATTTGAAATCAGACATCTCTGATTTTTCTTTCATGAAGCCTAATTTTTCTATAAAAGGCATAAATTTGTATGGGACAAAATAGAACCATTAACATTTTACCAGCTTGCATTTTTCATCCCTGCTTTGTGTTAGAAAACCGGTATACAACACTAGTGTCTCAAGTCATGTTCCTCATGGTCGGGTCCTTGTGACACAGAGCGTTCATGTAGCTGCTGCTTAATCTGATATTACATACCAGTAAAAAACATTTTATTTATTCTGAGATTGGAAAAACTTTCCAAATAGAACATGCACGCATAGCCTTGAAATCACCACCTTTATGATTACTAAATGTCACTTAGAGGGTGCTTAGAAACTGAATCTGATGAAATTAATCATGTCGTTATTTCAGCAATGTATTTCAGTTACTTAAAAACACGAGCTTAATATTTAAAAAGAGTTTGTTTCCTATTTCTCCAGAAACTTTACATTTTCCTGTTTCAAGACATCTTGGTTCTGACGCGGCCAGTCACGCGGAACGAGCGGCCCTCTTACCAGGTGTACCGGCGGCCCATCCCCGTCCAGGAGCTGGTCCTGGAAGACCTGCAGGATGGAGATGTGCGGATGGGAGGCTCCTTCCGGGGGGCTTTCGGCAACTCGGAGAAAGGTAAAAAATACAGGCCTTACAATCACTTTAAGATTGTATGACCATTTTGCATAGAATAAACCTTTTTTTAGACTGATTTTTTTTTCCCCCAGCTAAAAATATCTTCAGAATTCGCTTCCATGACCCCTTTCCCGGCCAGTCTCATACTCTGCAAGCCAATGATGTGTTCCACAAGCAGCAGTGGTTCAACTGTATCCGCGCGGCCATTGCGCCTTTCCAGTCGGCAGGCAGTCCGCCCGAGCCGCAGGGCCTGCCGGAGCCGCACGAAGAGTGTGAGGGGAACCACCCCTCTGCTAGGAAACTCCCAGCCCAGAGGAGGGTGTCCACAGTTTCTAGTGTTACTCAGGTAGAAGTTGATGAAAACGCTTACAAATGTGGCTCTGGCATGCAGATGGCAGAGGAGAGCAAGAGCGTAAAGACACACCAGACACATCCCGGCATCCGGAGAGCGAGGGACAAAGCCCGGTTTGGTAGCAAACGGAAAGAGACTTTGGTGTAGAGAAAGCTCTGTGTGTTAACTGGTGGAGAGACTGTTTATAAATGTACAGTTTTGTTTTCTTATAATGGGAGCATCATAGGGTTACTTTATACCAGTTGTAACATTTTCATTGTTTTGGTTATTGTTCTTTTTTTAATGGCAGCTAAAGATATACGGATTACTGTTAAATTGCAGTCTTTTTTAAAGATATTTTCTCTAATTATTGAGAAAATGCAAGCCTGATATTTTTAATCAAACAATATTTATGAAATGGGTTTTCTCTTAAAATTCTGGATTCATCATGGCTTTCTAATACCAATTGTAATATTTACAATATTCACCAAAACTTAGAATTTTTGCAAATACTGGAATTCTACCAGCCTTGCATGCAAAATTTGAAGTTTTAATACTGGCACCCAAAATCTATGTGGAATATATGTTTGAAGTATTTCAAAATTTACCTTGAAACATAACTTCCTTGGAAAACAAACTATAAGCCTGAGTAGGTTTTTATTTTTATCAACTGGAATGCTTTAGTTTTTCACTGTACATTCCTCATTTTACATTCATTTAACCTGCCAATTATTTTTTTTATTGTAAAGTAGTTTTTAGTATTTGCTTTTATTTTTTTACTTTGATGCCTTTTCAAATTGGCATGTCTTTATTTTTCTTTCTGATTAAAAATGTGTGTGTATGTGTGTGTATGTGTGTATATATATATATTTTAATCACATTAACTTTACCAAGTGAAACCAAGCCATACTGTTTTTGAGCCAATTAAGAAAATTGCCATTTTTAACGTGTAGCATTTCAGGGTAAAGACCCATGAAGTGACTTGGTATATTCTAGACTGCTGCAAGAAAACCACTTCAAAGATTTTGTTGAAAGTTTTAGTGTTGTCTGAAAAGCAAGAGGGAAGGTGATTGGTAGTGAGTTAAAAGAAAAAGAAAGGAAAAGAGAGTAGTTTTGTCTTCATGTAAAATGTCTGGTTGTGCCAGACATTTCACAAGTGTGAAAGGAGATAAGAGAAGCTTACCTTGAGGGCGTGTAGTAAGTTGTAGAAGGCTCGAGGGGATGTGGACTTATTTGCCTTGGTTTGCAATACCTGCAAATAATGTTTGAAAAGAAACAATGAAATGTGTTGAAAATTTGACCATATTAGATCAATTTTGGTGGATTTATTCATAAGGTGGAAAAAGACTGGTGAATCTTTTTTTTTTTTTTACAAATGTTTCTGTTAAAATGGGATCATCATCTTTTGAAAGGGGGGAGGGAGGAGTAAAAGCCCGATTATAATGGTGATCAATTCAAGTCAGTGTTGACTATTCTGTGAAATATATTTGGCCAGTGGAAATGATAATCAGAAAAAACTGTAAATAGATCCATCCAAGTGATTTCTCTGTACAAATGAATGATACTATTAAAAAAAAAAACGCACACACATAATCACCCTGAAGGTTTCTTGCCTGGTGGCTATTTTGGGGGCATCTGGCAAAATACGCTGGTGTGGCAAAGGAGATAATGGTAAGCCTCACAAAAGTTAGGAAATCTTTTAAGAACGTGGTATAATCAGACACAGCAATTGTATTGAAGACAATGGAACACCTGTTACTTTCTGGATAGGATAGTAAGGGTAGTAGCAAAGCATCCTGATTAATTTCAGATTTTAATTTAAGTAACTCAGGTTCCTAACTGGAAATTCACATTCAAAAGTGTATATTACACGGTTGAATGTGACCTGCAACACCAGAAAGCAAGATTTCTAATCATTTCTAGAGGTGTTTTATAGAACATTTATTCCAGAGTTAACCCTGATCAGCTTCTGAAGTTTAAGAAGCAAGTAGTAGTTCAAGTGTTGTTAATGGGATGATGTTTTATTCAAAACTGGATCTTCCTTTGGTTCCCTCAAGGGAAAAAATAAGATCCAGAATCTGTGTAAATATATCAAATGAGTATTCCTTAGAAATAGCACCTGTGTTTGAGAGCAGTCAGTGATCTAGCCGATCAGTTCTCAAACCTCTCTAGGCATCACAATCACCAGAGGTGCTTAAAAAAAAGTAACTGGGCCTCACCCCCTAATGTATGCCCTGCAATCACACAGGCACCATTTTACTGAATCCAGATTGCGGGACGTTGTGGGAGAGGACGGATGGTTTATATTTGCAAGCATCCCTCCTAGCAATTCCGGGCTTTGAATTCCTTGGATCGGCATTGAGGATTCACCCATCGAGCCAGCCCCTCTTTAGGTAACATATACCCACTGTATTCCTAGTTTGCCTTAACCTGTTCAGAGTCAGAAAGGAAGACAGTCTAGTTTCCCTGCCTTTTTACCTTCTTCTAGTGGGTGTGCCTACATATTTTCAGCAAAGAACAGTCTCTGCCCTGAAAGACTTCTTAAACGTCATGGTCCATCTCAGGATGTGTGCACACAGAGTGGTAAAGGAAACCAGGCCATCTGATTAGCCATCAATGGGTCACCAGTAAATCACCCTGGGATCTCTCAGGACACAACTGACTCATCATATGTGTTCAGCTACTTTTGTGGTAGCTGGGTCTAACTTTGTGTCTAATGCTTTTCTCAGTATGCAGACAGCACAATATTTGTTTCAAATATATAGCTATAATGCTAGTAATTTTACAACCATCAGAAAATGCCTAAAGCCCCCATCTGTGAATCTCGGTGACAAGCAGAAAGACCAAAGTGACAATGTTACAGTCTGTCTTCATCATACTCCTCAGCTGAAACTCCTGCCTGTCCCTAGAGATGAAACTGGCTAAGGAGTACATATTTAGGAGTCCTAGGGGTTCCAAGTAGATGGTATCTCAGCCTTCAAACAGGCTTTTTTTTTTTCTGAGACAGATTTGCTCTTGTTCCCCAGACTGGAGTGCAATGGCACGATCTCAGCTCACTGCAACCTCTGCCTCCTGGATTCAAGTAATTCTTCTGCCTCAGCCTCCCAAGTATCCGAGATCACAGGCGCATATCACCACGCCCAGATAATTTTATATTTTTAGTAGAGACAGGGTTTCACCAAGTTGGGCAGGCTGGTCTTGAACTCCTGACCTTAGGTGATCCACCCACCTTGGCCTCCCAGAGTGCTGGGGTTACAGGTGTGAGCCACCACGCCCAGACTACATGGACTTTTTAAAGTTGGCATGAGACAACACCAATTAAAGAATAATAACCCTTTGTCCGTGTAACTCCAATGAGAGGAATGCCCTCACAAATAAATCTCCCTACATCCAGAGAAATTTTAATTTTTTCTGCACTCAGCAACCAACCGCAAGACCAAAGACTTCTCCCAGATGGATAGTTACTCAAGTCCAGTGGCACTTAACACTTAGACCTTGTGTATTTGAGATTCTAATAAAAGCTCTGGACCCTCTCTCAGGAAAATGTGTGTACATCCACATCCTCATGACTTCAGAGCTTTAGGGATATTCCCCAGACTTCCCTGTGACCTCCAAGTTGAGATCCTCTCGTCTGTCTCAACCAGGACTCCAGGAAACCTGCTGGGGAGCACAGATTCTCTTTGTTCCTATGGGTTCTCCATGCGCTGGTATCACACTTGTTATGTAAAGAAGAGTCAAAGACACTTCTCACTAGTCTGCTAAGTCACACTTGTGACACATTCGAGCGTGCTGAGTACATTTCTTTGGTATCATATAAAAGTATCAAGTATGCTTTTGTAAACTACTTCCCATTTCATACCACATAGTTCTAGTGTAATATACCCCTTCTAAGACCTATTCATTCAAGAAACGGGTAATTCGTGAGATTCAACCTCACCAGCACCTGGAACTCCTCCTCCACTCTCAGACACCAGCGCACTCTCCCCATGTCCCTTGGCCCTCTACTCTTCCAGACCTCTAAATGTTGGAAAGCCATGGCTCGGTCCCCAGACATCTTGTTTCATGTACTGGGGAATCAGATCCATCCTATGGCTTTAACATGAACAAGACCTGACAACTTCCAAATTTCCATCTCCAGTTCTGACTACTCCTCTAAGCTCCTGACTTGCTACCCAGAGCCTACTTGACACGTCCTCTTGCAAGTCTAATGTGCTTCACGCTTAGCAGGACCTGAGAGGACTCACTTTTCCATCCTGAATCCTCTCCACCCCTAGTCTTCCCCGTCTTAGTAAATGGCACCACCCTCCACCAATTCTTGATTCCACTGCTCTACTCACGCTCCCTGGCCACTCACTCCACCGACAGGCTGCTTCACCTCCATGATGCATTCAGAATTCTACTGCCCACCACCTTCTTTGTTCCAAACGGTATTAGCTGCAGAAAGCTCTTACCTGAACAGCAACAGCCTTTCACTGGTTCCCCAGACTCTCACCAGTCTTCAATCCATCCTCCATATAGAAGCCAAATGATCTTTCTAAAGCAAAAATTAGATAATGATAAAATATCAATTTAGTAAAATATTAAAGCTGTAACTTTTTTTTTTTCTTTTTGATGCTAAAAATTACGTGTTTTCATCATGGAAACTTTAGAAAATTCAGGAAAGTATTAAAGTTACCTCAAGGCCGGGCGCGGTGGCTCAAGCCTGTAATCCCAGCACTTTGGGAGGCCGAGGCGGGTGGATCACGAGGTCAAGAGATCGAGACCATCCTGGTCAACATGGTGAAACCCCGTCTCTACTAAAAATACAAAAAAAAAAAAAAAAAAATTAGCTGGACATGGTGGCACGTGCCTGTAATCCCAGCTACTCAGGAGGCTGAGGCAGGAGAATTGCCTCCTGGGTTCACCAGGAGGCGGAGGTTGCGGTAAGCCGAGATTGTGCCATTGCACTCCAGCCTGGGTAACAAGAGCAAAACTCTGTCTCAAAAAAAAAAAAAAAAAAAAAAAAAGTTACCACAAGAGAATGAGAACACAGGCCGCAGACTAAGAAACTATGTGCAAAAGACATACCTGACAAAGGGCTGTTATCCAAAATATACAAAGAACTCTTAAAACTCAACAATAAGAAAATGATCCAGGCTGGGCACAGTGGCTCATGCCTGTAATCCCAGCACTTTGGGAGGCCAAGGCAGGTGGATCATCTGAGGCCAGGAGTTCAACACCAGCCTCCCCAACACAGTGAAACGCCATCTCTACTAAAAATATAATAATTAGCTGTGCGTGGTGGCAGGTGCCTGTAATCCCACCTACTCGGGAGGCTGAGGGAGGAAAATGACTTGAGCCCAGGAGGTGGAGGTTGTAGTGAGCCAAGATTGTACCACTGCAGTCCAGCCTGGGTAACTGAGTGGGACTCCATCTCAAAAAAAAAAATAAAATGACCCAATTAAAAAAATGAGCAAAAGACTTGAACAGACACCTCACTAAAAAAGATATATAGGCTCAGCACAGTGGCTTATGCCTGTAATCCCAATACTTTGGGAAGCCAAGGCAGGTGAATCACTTGAGGCCAGAAATTTGAGACCAGCCTGGCCAACATGGTGAAACCCCATCTTTACTAAAAATACAAAAATTAGCCAAGCATCGTTGAAGAGTCCTGTAATTCCAGCTACTTGGGAGACTGAGGCACAAGAATTGCTCCAACCCAGGAGGCGGAGGTTGCAGTGAGCTGAGATTGCACTACTGCACTCTAGCCTGGGTGACAAAGCAAGACTCTGTCTTAAAACAAATGAAGATATACAGGGCAAATAAGCAAATGAAAAGATGTTCTACATTGTATGTCATTAGGGAATTGCAAATTAAAACACAGTGGGATGGCACTACACACCAATGAGAATGTCAAGTTCCAAAACACTGATGACATCAAATGCTAGCAAGGATGTGGAGCAACAGGAACTCTTGTTCACTGCTGGTAGGAATACAAAACGGAAGTCAGTTTGGCAGCTTCTTTAAAAAACTAAACATGCTCTTACCCTACAATCCAGCAATCTTGCTCCTTGGTATTTACCCAAACGAGTTGAAAACTTATATCCACACAAAACTTGGAAGGAAACAAGATGTTATTCAGTAGGTGCTGTGTATGGTCTGAATGTGTCCATGGAAATGTATATGTTAAAACTTAATGGTCAATATGATAGTAGTAAGAGGCGGGGCCTTTAGATGGTGATTACGTGAAGGCAGAGCCCTCATAGGTGGGATTAGGGCCCTTATAAAAGGGCTGGAGAGAGTGCGTAGGGTCTTTCCCTTCCATTTCTTCTGACATGTGAGGACAAAGTGTCCATCTCCTCCAGAGGATGCGCAATAAGGCAGCATCTTGGAAGGAAAGAGAGCAGCCCTCCCCAGACACCAAATCTGCCAATAACTCGATTTTGGACTTTTCTGCCTCCAGAACTATAATACATATATTTTTTTTCTTTATAAATTACTGAGTATCCAGGCCGGGCGCGGTGGCTCAAGCCTGTAATCCCAGCACTTTGGGAGGCTGAGGCGGGTGGATCACGAGGTCGAGAGATCGAGACCATCCTGGTCAACATGGTGAA